TTAGTTGACAAATATTGTAAAGTGACTGTAATGTAGATAGGCTGTTCCATGAAACATACAAGATTTAGTTGACAAATATTGTAATGTGACTGTAATGTAGATAGGCTGTTCCATGAAACATACAAGATTTAGTTGACAAATATTGTAAAGTGACTGTAATGTAGATAGGCTGTTCCATGAAACATACAAGATTTAGTTGACAAATATTGTAATGTGACTGTAATGTAGCTAGGCTGTTCCATGAAACATACATGATTTAGTTGACAAATATTGTAATGTGACTGTAATGTAGATAGGCTGTTCCATGAAACATACAAGATTTAGTTGACATATATTGTAAAGTGACTGTAATGTAGATAGGCTGCTCCATGAAACATACAAGCTGCTCCACAAGTGACTATAATGTAGCTAGGCTGCTCCACAAGTGACTGTAATGTAGCTAGGCTGCTCCACAAGTGACTAATGTAGCTAGGCTGCTCCACAAGTGACTAATGTAGCTAGGCTGCTCCACAAGCAACTGTATTCTAAATAACTTGTACTAAGTAACTTTAATTCACCAGAACCAACAACAATGTATGAAAAATCAATGAGAAGAAAAACAACTTTTGTCAAATAGATAGATAACAAACCTTCTCTTTTCTTCTTTCATAACCTCTGCATAACTTGCTTCCATATTAGAATCATCATAATCATCATCCATATATCTATTGGAAGATAAGAAATTATGAAAATCGTAAATATTAAACTTTTCATTTCTGTGAAAATAACCTTAAAATATCATCATACAAAAGTTAAAAGACTGTTTGAATAAAAGAAAATAAAATTTTCCTCTGCTATTAAAGATCAAGTATTATATGGTTACAATTTTCAATACTTTCATAAACAAAAGTTGCATTGAAGAGGACAAATGAAAATGTCACGAGTTGCATCCATTTTAAACTTTGTAATTTATTAATTGTGAATCTGAGCTATACTTTGTATTACTTTACATATTAATGTGTATTTACCTACTACTTTCAATAATTAACAATTTTCTTTTGAGCTTACTAACTGATTATAAGTATTATCTTAATACAAATTAAAGCTTTTACACATAAGAATATTTTTTAAAACAACTTTTTGATCTCTAGTGCGATTACACAGGTTTTAAAGGTAAAGAACGTTTTTGTACTTAAAGACTGTTGAATGTTGATTTAATTTTTAATTTGTATCAATCATACTAACATTACACTAATCATGTTTAATTGGTATCACTCATACTAACGTTACACTAATCATGTTTAATTGGTATCAATCATACTAAAGTTACACTAATCATGTTAAATTTGTATCAATCATACTAACGTTACACTAATCATGTTAAATTTGTATCAATCATACTAACATTACACTAATCATGTTAAATTTGTATCAATCATACTAACGTTACACTAATCATGTTAAATTTGTATCAATCATACTAACATTACACTAATCATGTTAAATTTGTATCAATCATACTAATGTTACACTAATCATGTTTAATTGGTATCAATCATACTAACATTACACTAATCATGTTAAATTTGTATCAATCATACTAACATTACACTAATCATGTTTAATTGGTATCACTCATACTAACGTTACACTAATCATGTTTAATTGGTATCAATCATACTAACGTTACACTAATCATGTTAAATTTGTATCAATCATACTAAGGTTACACTAATCATGTTAAATTTGTATCAATCATACTAACATTACACTAATCATGTTAAATTTGTATCAATCATACTAATGTTACACTAATCATGTTTAATTGGTATCACAATCATACTAACATTACACTAATCATGTTAAATTTGTATCAATCATACTAACGTTACACTAATCATGTTTAATCGGTATCAATCATACTAACATTACACTAATTATATAATACTTCAATAGAGTTGTCCTAACAAAACATTAATGTGAGGTGTATTCTACTTCTAGTGTCACTGTTTCACATCATCTAACACTTGGATCATATCATTCTAACAAAAGATTAATTTGAGGTGTATTCTACTTCTAGGGTAACTGTCTGACATCATGTAATACTTGGATTGTGTTGTCCTAACAAAACATTAATATGAGGTGTATTCTACTTCTAGTGTCACTGTTTCACATCATCTAACACTTTGATCATATCATCCTAACAAAATATTAATGCAAGGTGTATTCTACTTCTAGTGTCACTGTTTCACATCATCTAACACTTTGATCATATCATCCTAACAAAATATTAATGCAAGGTGTATTCTACTTCTAATGTCAATGTTTCACATCATTGAGCACTTGGATCATATCGGCCTAACAAAATATTAATGTGATGTCTAATCTACTTCTAGTGTCACTGTTTCACATCATCTAACACTTGGATCATATCGTCCTCACAAAATATTATTGTGATGAGTATTATAGTGTCACTGTTTCACATCATCTAATACATGGATCATATCATTCTAACAAAATATTAATGCGAGGTGTATTCTACTGCTAGTGTCACTGTTTCACATCATTGAACACTTGGATCATATCGTCCTAAAAATATATTAATGTGAGGTGTATTCTACTTTTAGTTTTGATATTGACAGAGATGAGTCATAAGAAATAATATCAGACAAAAATTTGTATTATATATCAGGTACCTGATGATGACAAAAACCTCATCAAAACATTGTACATTTACTGCTATGTTAAACTTATATTAAAGTTTTCCTTCATTACCCATTCAAGCCATCTCCAATCATTATTAAACTGACTTGTTCCAAAGATATCTAGTTGTTACTTTAGATACACCTGTTAAACCATACTGTCAATAGTACGTTAGCAAAACTGAGTAAAGAAGATTTTGATATCAATTACAGTTTGAAACTACTTGCACTATACATACTTTCGCCTGTCATATCCAAAAATTTCTCTGATGATGCTAGAATAATCTTCTTCATCATCTATTGGAGTATCATCAATAAAATCAGACATGTCATCATCTTCATCATCACTCTCTATTCTTCGCTTGACCGGAGCTTCTAGATAACAAGCAACGATTGAGAACTTACACTTTTGGAAATCAAGTTTGTTTAAAGACATGAATGTTAACAATGTATTGCCATCAGAATCAATAAAACATTGAAATTGATCAATTAACAAGAATGTATAATAATAATAAATAATTGGTTCCTTTTTTTCTGTACACCTTGTTTTTGGTGGGGGGAGGGGAATTTTGTGTAATGCTGCATGTACATGTCTGACCCTGAATATCAAGATAAGTTACATTTTAATATTTATACAAAAACTGAGGCTATATAAACAACAAGTAAGGCTGAATTATATGTGAATTACAATGGAAGCTGGGTAAACAGCTGATAACATGCAAATCTTAATGGACAATCTAAAGGTAACTAATGTAGAAGTACTTATGAATCACATTGGACATCTTTGTAAGTGTTCTATGTGATTATCTCATGAACTAATGCTTATACAGTCTTAAGTGTTCTATGTGATTATCTCATGAATTAATGCTTACCCAGTCTTTGGAGTGTTCCATGTGATTATCTCATGAACTGCTGCAGTCATTGAAGTGTTCCATGTGATTATCTCATGAACTGCTGCAGTCATTGAAGTGTTCCATGTGATTATCTCATGAACTGCTGCAGTATTTGAAGTGTTCTATGTGATTATCTCATGAATTAATGCTTACCCAGTCTTTGAAGTGTTCCATATGATTTTCTTATGAACTAATGTTTATCCAGCATCCTAACTGTCCTGTGTGATTATCTTGTGAACTAATGTTTATCCAGCATCCTAACTGTCCTGTGTGATTATCTTGTGAACTAATGTTTATCCAGCATCCTAACTGTCCTGTGTGATTATCTCATGAACAAATGTTTATACAATATTTTAACTGTTCAGTGTGAATATCTCATGAACTAATGTTTACCCTGCCCCTAAACTGGGTAAGCATTAATTCATGAGATAATCACATAGAACACTTCAAAGACTGGGTAAGCATTAATTCATGAGATAATCACATGGAACACTTCAAAGACTGTATAAGCATTAGTTCATGAGATAATCACATAGAACACTTCAAAGACTGGGTAAGCATTAATTCATGAGATAATCACATGGAACACTTCAAAGACTGTATAAGCATTAGTTCATGAGATAATCACATAGAACACTTGAAAAACTAGGTAAGCATCAGTTCATGAGATAATCACATGGAACACTTAAGACTGTGTAAAGAGCAAGTTGTTTAAAAGAATATGTGAATCATACAGGAGAGTCACAAGATAAACATTGGATCATGTGATAATGACAACAAACCTTTAAAAAACATGGCAAACAACAGGTAATAATGAAGTACATACAAATATTTGAATGATAAAATTATGGGTTGGAAAACTACATGCCCAGTGAGCTTTGTTCACCAGACTTCGATCATATGTTCCTTCGATCATACTTGTTTTACTTAAGTGTCACAATCCATCGATGTTTCAAATATCCCAAACGTATTTTTCTAATTACATCATATAACATAAAATTTGTGGTTTAAATGCCAACTAGGATATATAATAACTATTAATTGTGATTAATTACTATATATGTTAGTAAATGGAAAACTAGGATACATACACATTCACAATTAACTGTTATTAATTACTGTAAGGGTTAGCACATAGAAAACCAGGATACATACATACTAACTATTAATTGTTATTAATTACTACAAGCATTAACATACAGAAAACTAGGATACATACACACTCACAATTAACTGTTATTAATTACTGTAAGGGTTAGTACATAGAGAACCAGGATACATACATACTAACTATTAATTGTTATTAATTACTACAAGCATTAACACACAGAAAACTAGGATACATACACAATCACAATTAACTGTTATTAATTACTATAAGTGCTAGTACATGGAAAATTTGGATACATACATACTCACCGTTAACTGTTATTATTACTATGAATACTAGCATATAGAAAAATAGGATACATACATACTCACTATTAATTGTTATGCTAGTAGATGGAAAACTAGAATACATACACAATCACTATTAATTGTTATTAATTACTGTAACTGCTAGTACGTGGAAGACTAGGATACATTAATACTCACTACAAGTGCTAATACATAGAAAACTAGAATATATACACAATCACTATTAATTGTTATGCTAGTACATAGAAAACTAGAATACATACACAATCGCTATTAATTGTTATTAATTACTGTAACTGCTAGTACGTGGAAGACTAGGATACATTAATACTCACTACAAGTGCTAGTACATAGAAAACTAGAATACATACAGAATCGCTATTAGTTGTTATAAATTACTGTAAGTGCTAGTACGTGGAAGACTAGAATACATTAATACTCACTATAAGTGCTAGTACATAGAAAACTAGAATACATACATACTCACTATTAATTGTCATTAATTATTGTAACTGCTAGTACATAGAAAACTAGAATACATGCATACTCACTATTAATTGTTATTAATTATTATATATATATACTCCTAAATGGAAAGATAGGATCAATTGTATTAATTAGTATATATGCTAGTATATTTGGTCACTTCCCAACTATTATGTCATTCTGAGGCCATAGAATCTGTACTTACTTTTCTGAACCTGATGATAACCAGCCACTTTTTGAGATGTAAAATGGTGTACTCTGTTGTTAGATAATAGCTTCCCACTAGATCTGACATTGAAATACTGTTTTTCAGGGCCTGGTAGACCACCTTTATGATTAGGTTGTAGATTAAGTTTTGTATTAACAGGCTGATTTTCAGTACGAGCTGAAAGTACCCTGTGGGTATCATTAGGATTGCTCTTGGGTTTCATCTTAGCAAGCTCCTCGTGTGAATGAGAATCTCTATAGTTGTGACAAGGTTTACTCCCTGATGTCTTATTAGTTGGCTGGCTGCTAGAGCTAAGCTTACAACTGGATTTCGTACTTGGTTTCTGAATTTCCGAGCAAGGTTGCAAGGAGTCAGATCTAGGTTTTTCATTGGATCTCGTTTGAGCAAATTGCTTTTCCATGTAAGATGACCTGTGTTTAGACTGTGGCTTCTCATTTAATGTGGCGTCAGTAGACAGTTTCTCCAAATTAGTTACTTTGTAGTTATGTTTTTCATTTGATTTTATACTAGAAGAACGCTTATCCATGAAAGGTTTTATACAATTAGCAATAGGTTTCTCATTGGATTTGTTACTAGTCATGATTTTTTCGATACATTTTACCTTGTGGTTTGATCTATGTTTCTCATTGAATTTGGTATTAGTATTCTCTCTTTCCAAATAAGGTACTATATAGTTAGAGCTGGGCTTACCATTGTATTTGGTATTAGTAGGCAGCTCTTCCAAATAGGATTTTCTGTGACTGGTGTTAGATTCTTTATTGAATATGCTATTAATAAGGTCTTTCTTCATATGTGTGCTGCCATTTAACCCGAGTTTCTCATTCAATTTGGTGTTAGTTGATTGTTTTCCAGATTTCTTATAATCAGAACTAGGTTTTTCATTAGATCTGGAACTAGTAGATTGTTTCACCAAACAAGATACCCTGTTGTTAGAAATACGTCTTTTATTAATGTTGTTATTAAGAGGTTGTTTCTCCAAGTCAGGTGCTCTATTGTTAGAACTAAGTTTCCCATTACTGTTGGTACTAGGAGGTCGTCTCTCCAAATTGGGTGTTCTGTTCTTAGAGCTAAATTTCCCACCACTGTTAGTATTAGTAGGATGTCTCTCCAAATCAGGTTCCATTTTGTTAGAACTAAGTTTCCGATTAAGAAATTCTTTCTCCACTCTAGGTACTATTTTATTAGTGCTAAGTTTCATATTAGGTCTTCTTTCCAAATCAGGTGCTCTATTATTAGAACTAATTTTCCCATTTCTGTTGATATTAGGTGGTTGTTTCTCCAATTTAGGAACTATTTTGTTATAGCTAAGTTTACTACTAGTGCTGGTATTTGTTTCTCTCTCCAAATTAGATGCAATATTGTTAGAGCTAATTTTCCCATTAATGTTGGTGTTAGGAGGTTGTTTCTCCAATCTAAGTGCTAGTTTGTTAGAGTTAGTGTTCCTACTAGTGTTGGTATTAGGTCGTCTCTCCAAGTCAGATGCAATATTGTTAGAGCTAAGTTTCCTATTAGTGTTAGTGTTAGGAGGTTGTTTCTCCAATCGACCTGCTAGAATGTTAGAGCTAATTTTCCTACTAGTGTTGATATTAGGTTGTCTCTCCAAATCAGATTCTCTATTATTAAAGCTAAGTTTCTCACTACTGTTGGTATTAGGAGGTCGTCTCCCCAAATCAAATACTCTGGTGTTAGAGCTAAGTTTCCCATTACTGTTGGTATTAGGAGGTCGTCTCCCCAAATCAGATGCTCTATAGTTAGAGCTAAGTTTCCCATTATTGTTGGTATTAGGAGGTTGTTTCTCCAAGTCAAGTGCTCTATTGTTAGAGCTACGTTTCCCATTACTGTTGGTATTAGGAGGTCGTCTCTCCAAATCAGATGTTCTATAGTTAGAACTAAGTTTCCCATTAATGTTGGTATTAGGAAGTCGTCTCTCCAAATCAGATGCTATAGTGTTGGAGGTTAATTTCCCATTATTGTTGGTATTAGGAGGTTGTTTCTCCAAGTCAAGTGCTCTATTGTTAGAGCTAAGTTTCCTATTAGTGTTGGTGTTAGGAGGTTGTTTCTCCAATCTAGTTGCTAGTTTATCAGAGCTAACTTTCCTACTAGTATCGGTATTAGGTCGTCTCTCCAAATCAGATGCTCTATTGTTAAAGCTAAGTTTTCCATTACTGTTGGTATTAGAAGGTTGTCTCTCTAAATCAGATGCTTTGTTATTAGAACTAAGTTTTCCATTACTGTTGGTTTTAGGAGGTTGTCTCTCCAAATCAGATGCTTTGTTATTAGAACTAAGTTTCCCATTAGTGTTGGTTTTAGGAGGTTGTCTCTCCAAATCAGGTGCTCTACTGTTAGAGCTAAGTTTCCCATTAATATTGGTATTAGTAGGTTGTTCCTCTGAGTAAGGTACTCTGTTGTTAGAGTCAAGGTTCTCATTTTTTTTAATACTAGTAGCCAAATTTTCTCGTCGAGGTATTCTAAAGTTAGGATTAGGCTTCCCATTACTTTTGGAATGAGATAACATTAAGTGAGAGCTCGGTTGTTCAATTAATTTGGTATTATTACGCTGATTTTCTGAATGAGGTAACTTGTAGTTAAAGCTAGGTTTTTCAATGGATTTCCTGTTATTCAGCTGGTTTTCTGAATGAGGTACTTTGCAGTTAAGGCTAGGATTTTTAATGAGTTTCTTATTAATCAGCTGGTTTTCAGGAAATCTGTAGTTTAAGCTGGGTTTGGAGAGTGAACAGTCTTCAGCATAAACTCTGTCCATGTATTTACAAGACTTATACATTTCATTCTGTTTATTTACAATTTCATTGCAAGCTGAACTGTTTTGAAACTTGTTTAATTCAGCACGTGTCCAAATATCTGTATCAAGTTTCCTTTCACACCTAAAACTTTTCTTCTTGTGGTTTGACTGCAAGTCATTTGATCTTGTATCAAGGTGTAAATCAGCCCTTTGCAAGTTTCGGAAATTTAAAGAGTCCCTTTTATCAATATGAGGATGTGAATTATCATCCATTTCTTCTTCTTTCTGACTGACATATCGATTTTCTTTTGCAAGATGCTTAGAAGAAAACACATTGCTATTGTCAATGTGTGCAGACTTTGGTTTATTTGGATTTAATACTTTCTCTTTATGTGATATTTTGTCAGTATTCTGATTTTTCCAATCACCCATACTTTGTGATATGGCACTTGATCTAGAAGCTCCAGACAAATGATGTTTGCCATTTGCAAGTAATCTAAAACCTTTATGTTGATTTTGAAAGTTGGTTAGCAAACTTGATTCAATAGGATTATTTTCACCTCCTTCACAAAGCACTTTCTTACTTGACTGCTTAGAAATCATGCCGTCGTGTCTTTTCATTTCTTTGGAAGAATTACATGGTACACTAGTTTTCTTTTTCCTTATTTCTTCATCTATGTATATTCCCCTTTCAGCCATCAGTCTTTGATCTTCACTTTCCTTTACAGAGAGTAAAACTGGAACAGATTCATGATGTTTCTGAGAAGTTATTTTCAAAATATCCTTGAAGTTTCCCATTTGAGTTGGATGTTGCTTATGCCTTGATTTATTTTTTGGCAATGCTCCATTATTTTGCAGTTTGTTTGTTGAAGGATCTCGTCCTGACATGTCTATCTTAGGCTGTTCTTCTGTCAAGCGAGGTTTCTTTAAAAGCAATTGATTTAAAGGAAATGAAAACATTTCATCATTATTATTCATATCACGAGTCTTTCTCTTTCGTTTCCTCAGAGCTTGACTATCATGTTCTTCAAATCTATTTTTTGTTCTTTCAATTATAGTATTTGACATTTCTCTCTGGAATTCTTTTTCTCTTTTCAATTTAGCATCAAGATCATCTTCAGACATCCTTATTCCACTAAAATCATTGTCTTTTGTTCTTGATGCCATTATTTTTGCTTTTTTGCTACTTTTTGAATTCTGAGCTCGTAGAGACAACAGATGTTCCTTTTTCTTAAGAGCTTCTAGCACTGCAGAATGAAAATGTTTTTAAATGAACTATACTATATTTATAACAATACATTTTTATCTCATGAGAAAACACTACAATAAACTATTAAGGAATAATACTGGTTAAAACTATGTAACTGGATCAGATACACTCTAAGGAACAAAACTGGTTAATAACATGTAATTAGATCAAATATAATTTTCAGAAACAACACTCTACATCAGTGATATTTTTCATATTATTCTAGATACCCCTCTATATTACCAATATTATTTTCACATTATTCTAGATACCCCTCTATATTACCAATATTATTTTCATATTATTCTATATACCCCTCTATGTTACCAATATTATTTTCATATTATTCTAGATACCCCTGTATATTACCAATATTATTTTCATATTATTCTAGATACCACTCTATATTACGAATATTTTTTTAATCTTCAGATCATTAGATATCCTCTTTAAGTTACTAATAGAGTATTTTAGAAGTCCTCTTTAATAATAATAACTTCAAGTTCAGCAGAATCAGTAAACATAACTTGACCAATCTGTTCCAAAACTAAATTATACATACACTTCTGTTTTTCTTCCTGTTCTTTTCGTTGAAGATATGCTTTCACAGCTGTTGTGCCAACCTGGTGACTTAGCTGCTTGTTTTGAGATTTCATTTCTGAGAAAAAATAAAATATAACTAATGAAAATGTATTTTTGCAATGCTAAATCTGTAGCTCTGTACTTGTATGTTTTAAACACATACATAGTTAAACATAGTGTTTGAAACATACAAGTACAATTTTGGCCATAACTCTGTATGTATAAAATTGTGTTTAAAACAAACTCTATAGCTCTGTGTGTACATTATACATTTATCTGTGTTATATCACCTTCATACTTATATGAACCACTCTGTGTGTTACATCACCTTCATACTTATATGAATCACTCTGTGTGTTACATCACCTTCATACTTATATGAACCACTCTGCGTGTTACATCACCTTCATACTTATATGAATCACTCTGTGTGTTACATCACCTTCATACTTATATGAACCACTCTGTGTGTTACATCACCTTCATACTTATATGAATCAGTCTGCATGTTACAACTTTACCATACTTTCATAATATGGTGAATCCTGTTTTTTCTACTGTAGCTCACATTTTAATCTAAAGTGGGATACCCTACACCTCACTTGTTACTAAAGGTTAATTGGTATAAACTGGAAACCATGTAAATAAACAGAAAATTCCAGAGTATCCAGAACAAGTGATCAATTACATCCACATGTATTACTTTTATCATCTTGATATCAGAAAAGAAACCAAATAACCCCTGATGAAGAAAATCCCACTTCTGAAAGCTCTTCGGGAACTGGGTTTATTTTCTGATGCTAACTTTCTTCTGTTGACCTGCATGCTTTTCAGTATCATGGGTAGTCATATCATGTACATTTTTTTTTTACAAAAGATTAAACATAAGATGTTTAATTGTTGCCAGGGTAGAATAGTCACTGCTGAGATTACTTTCTATCCAACATATTGTAAACATTTTAATAAACAGCCACAAGTATACAATCTTTCTTACACTGTTCAACTGTTTCAGTTTTGAAAAATATCTGTCCATGATAATTAGGAGAACATGGAGGACCTACCAGTATATGAAATCAGGCATGCCAGAAAAATTTAAGCATTTTTCACAGAAATAGTGATAAAATAGTCTTATACTAGTGCACAAAGTTATATGATAATAGATTATTGTAAATTTAATTTTAATCTTTGTTAATGCAGAGTTTCAATTGCCTATAAGGCCACAGTAAAGTGTAATCAACTGCACACATTAATTATCTATGATGTTTCCAGATGTAAACATCAACAGGGGCCACCATCTTGCTGAAATCTTGCACAGAACAAGCTTACGCTTATCAGAATTCATCTACAATACAATAAATGGTATTTCAACAATACAACTCTTTTTTTTTTTAAATCGTGTCGTCACAAATGTTTTTAGATAACTGCTACAAAATAACAGGAAAAGTCATTGTACTGCATGAAAAAGATATCCTCATAACTAGACATACAACTTCACCCCACTCCAATTCCCAAATTAAAAAATGAATAAAGCTGCTTTTGTAACACAGGATTTCTCTCCAAAATAAATAAACAAGGTCCAATAAATGTCAGTTATGCCTTACATGAGTTACCAACACACACACACACACACACACACAACTTTAATGAAACTTTCAGCTGCTAAAAAATGCCATAATTTCTTTTCTCATTGACATAGAATTAAAACCACAATTCAAAGTGATATGAAATGCCATTTTTGTGCTTTATAAACACAGCCCTTGAAGAAGCTACATTTTGCTGGTAGAGCCATCAATTGTACAGCTATACAGCTGCTGGAGTTTGTGTGTGTGTGTATATATATAAAAGTAATAAAATTCTCTGCTGTATTGATCAATTTTGAAAGTCATGTGATCAATAGCCTAAAATGAGGTAGAGCTTTAACCTCACCAGTCCTACTACTTCCACTAGCCTTGAAACATCAACTATTGACTGAGATTTTAGAAGCAGAAATATGCTCAACACAATAAAAATGTTATTAACATTTTGATTGTGCATTTTAAATATTGATCCTGTTTTTGATTTAAAAATTGTAATGCATAAATTGCCTTAATTGATCTTTTTGACTGAGATTTTATGAATTTAATTTTTTTTGTAAAGTCCTTTCTATAACAATCCTCTACTTACTACATGATGGGAAAAGATCTATGTTCTAATTATATTTTATAATTTAGCAACATTTAGCTCCATCACAAAAAACTTGAAAATAGTTACCGTTACTTTTATCCTCAGGAAACAATATACTATACCCCTACAGCTACAAATATACTTTTTAATATTATAAATTAATGAGACTAATTTAACTTAAAAAGTTAAGCCACGTTTTGAACATTTTCAAATCATAACACAGCAGAAAATTATCATTCCAACCTGTTCGTTCTAAATACACTGTACAAATGGTACGGTGATAGTGATAGCTTCAACTTCAAGGTAAGAGGCAAGAGTGGGCTAAAATTTAAAGTTTAAGCACTGTATGATATACTAATACGAATAGGCCTATCCAGTCGTCAAGATTCATGTCGATTTTTTCCGTCCATTTTTTCTGTGCTGTAATCGTAAACACCAAAATATTATTAGAATGGAAATAAACTCATTGCACCGTTATAAAAAAAAAGAACAAGAGGGAAGACACACAACTAATTTAACCTTACAACCCATGGCTAAAGTTCACCAAACATATGTTTGACACGTTCACACCCAGCACTCGCATCAGTAACACGAGCCCTTGGCATTTAAACCAGGATGAATACTAGAAAAGTCATAGTATGAAAAGGCAAATATTCTTTTGAAACATTTCAGTGAGTATATTTTTTAATGTGTATATATATAAGTATATGATTAATTTAGGTTTGCATTTTTTTTCAGACTGCACAGTGTATCAATAAAGAGCGAACAATTATTTGTAACTTAATTCTTAAAATATTTCAGATATTGTTGTCAGGTGTTACTAAATCACTAAAAGCTATTAAAGCAAGGTGTATATTTATATCATGGTATATATTGTTTTCAAATTTAACAGACACTAGGCGTGACGTTGAATTATCGGGTCATATAATAGCGCTACAAGTAAAAAGGACATGAAGGTAATCCTAATAAATACTAATTAAAAAGTTTTTGCGTTTGGATGGTTCATTAAAATTGAATGACTTTGAATTTGAATATATAGGTGTGAGTGTGTGTGTTTGTGTATCACAGATACTTTTTCATGGATCTAGAAATTCAAAAAACAAATTTCTGGGATGTAACTTTCCTTCTTCAGAGCTGAATTAGGAATTAAGAAATTAACCTAAGACTTGGATGTAACTTTCCTTCTTCAGAGCTGAATTAGGAATTAAGAAATTAACCTTAGACTTGGATTTAACTTTCCTTCTTCAGAGGTTAATTGGGAGTTCGGAAATTAACCTTAGATTTCTTGGAAGTAACTCTCCTTCTTCAGAGGTGAATTAGGAATTCGAAAATTAACCTTAGAATCCACGATGCGGTCCATCGGATTGTTCAAAATATTATTTGAAATCATTTATACACCAAATGCTTATGGGTCTATGGCTTTATTGGTTACAGGTTCCCTAATAACATAAGTCACATTAAATATGTAAATAAAAATGTCACCAATGTTGTAATTAATCACACTAATTATTACTGGAGTTCCCCGTGTATTCCGCATAGAAAATAAATGATTTCACCAATACCAAACTTCTTAATATGGTGCAATAAACGGTTCCCATCAGTGGTAAATGATATAAAATGAGGTCGGTAGTTTGTAAGTAAAAGTCATTCTGTAATTTTTTATACAACTAAAATTTATGAAAATAAAAGGCACTAAATATACACAGCGTGGTCACAAGTAAATAGACACCATCTTTTCAGAAAAAAATGAAAATTTTCAGTCATATTCACATGAATTGATATATCTATAATCTAATTAATATCTAGGACATCTTCCTTTCGCTTTGTGGAGTTCGTTGATCCTTTGGGGCATCGTGAGAATCATCTCGTCAATTTTAGATTGTGGGATTTTCGCCCAATCTTGCTTCAAAACTTGAAGTAGATCGCTCTTCAAAGTTGTTTTTTTGTTGTTGTTGTTGTTTCTTGACTTGGTGGTCGAGTATGGCCCAGAAGTTTTCGATGGGGTTCATGTCAGGAGATTGGCTTGGCCAGGGCAACTTCTGGACACCATTTTCTTCCTGCCACTTTTGGGTGTTTCTAGCAGTGTGACACGGTGCTCCATCTTCCTGGAACAATGTTGTGTTCTTGTCCACGAAACCAGAGGAATAAAGTGACAAGAGTCCTTCCTCCAATATTTCGACGTATTTCGCAAAATTTATGTTGCCAACGCTCTCCACTATGCTCGATCTCCCACCAACCCAAACAGCTCCGCAAACCATCACGCTGAAACCACCATGCTTCAGAGTTGGCTGCAATCTGTTGAGCCAAGACTCTTGGTGAGGCATTCTCCAGACCCATATCCTTCCACTGTCCGAAAATTAAGCGAATCTTGATTCGTCTGAGAACAGTATGGTCTTCCAAAAGTCCAGAGGCCTGGTCATCATATCACTTGCTCATAT